AAGATCGAATTCTGCAAACCCCCTAATATCAAATTGGATATTTATTTAGGAGTCCCCAGCAAAGTTTTTAACGGGGGTCAAGGACGATGTCATTGACACCCACAGACTCTCTTGTAGATAAATAAACATACTACAGATTTGCTAATGTTTTGCAACAGTACAAAAATTCTCTGTCAAAATTAACTAATATTTCATGTCAGATTATTTCACATGTTTGGGTAAATTTTTAAGCATTATTTTTTCCTAAGACTCAGAATGTTGACTGCTTATTAATTTTGTTTCGTAACGTTTGCGATCGAAATCTTTCATTTCTGCATCTTAAAGTATAATTTTTTTAAAGTTTATTTTGAGTATGGATTATTTATAATCATGTTTGATTCAGCTGAAAACTTGTTTTATGTATAAGAGTTTGAGATGAATTTATAAAATGTAAGTAATTGAAGAATATGGAGGAAATAAAATACATATATGTAATTTATACATTTTTTAAGCATTTTCATTTTATAATATTTTGAAATAAGTTAGCCATTGCTTTGATATATTGTGGTATTTTTTTAGGGTAACCTTATTTTTAAAGTAAGTATAAATTAATTCTGAATATTCTCTGGAACTTATATATCTTTCCTATTAAAAATAAATGCAATATTTTATTTTATTATTATATTTATTTATTTATTTGCATGTTGTTCTAAAAAAAAAAAAAAAGAACTACCTGTAGGTTTCTGAACAAAAATTCTTATAGAGAAATTGTGAAAAAGAAAATAATATGACTAAGTTAATTATAGAGTTAAACCAAAATTTTAGGTAAGCGAAAAAAAAACAGCACCGAAAGAAATACTGGTATGAAAGTATTAGAAAAGTGGCACAGGAAAAAGCACCAAAGAAAGGGATTTTTGTTAGTAATCAAATGAGTCATTGAGCCAAAATTAAATATTATTTATTTATTCGAATGAGATTAGATGCTTTTAACAAAATTAATATGTAAAGACTAGATTAAAGTTTATGGAGAGGAAACTTACCTACTTTATATTATTAAGCAAAATGATTAGAACTCTTAAGCAGTTTTAAAATTGCTCTTAATTTCAATAATTACACGAATTGTATTGTGATATTATATAAATATACCATGATGATTCTACAAAATTCTAACAATATTATGTCCGAGCAAAATATTACGAAATTGACTTGAGATGAAAGGCGTTATTTTTAATATTTCTAAGACATAATTTTTGTTATGTATATAAAAAGGTTATTCGTTTACAGTTTCCTAAAAAAATTAATACTACCTAAAAGTCACTCACCTGGCCTGTTCGAATTTTTTTCCTTAACTTCTTTAATTTATTTAATAAAATAAAAAAAAAACTTTATAAACGTTACTACCACATTTAAGTAAATAAAAATAATTAACTAGTAAATTTATTCATTCAAATTAAGGTAATGACATTTTTTATTCGGTATTAAAAATAATTACTTGATCTGATGACATTACTCTGAAATGCATGCAGAGAAATATAATACTTCAATTTTTCTTTTTTTTTTACCATTCTCAAATGAGATCTTTATTTAAAAATGAATTCAAATTAATTTTTTAAAATCTTTTTGAAGGGATTTTTGAAGTAACGATTGAAGTGGAAGATTTTAATTGATAATTTAGTGAATGATGAACATCGGATCCTTTTACCTTCGAAAAACTATTGACATTTATTTTGCAGATTGACATGCTGATAAACTTTGATGATGAACCGCTATGAACCTGTTTTAATTTTTTTCGCAAACAATAAAAGCTGAGTTTTATTCATGCATAATAATGAGTCTTTTTAATGTCAACGTTTGTATCAATGTATTTTTTATTTAACGTTTTTTCAACTTAAAATTTTATATAGGTATGAATCTCTCTTACTAATATACCAGTTTAAAGAAAATAAATATTGCTCGAAGATATGTTTAACTTTTTTTTCGCAACTAAACTTTTAACTTCATCGAAACAACTACCAGCTTAAAGTGCAATTTTCAAAAATTTCAAGTGACTTGTGGCAAATGAGATTAAAATACCCTGAAAAATTAAAATAAATTAGTTTTTCGTGGTCTCAGGATAATATTATAACAAGTCTAGTTCATGTCAATGTTTTAACAACTAGAAAATATAACTAGAAATTATACTTTTTTACTCATATAGCAATTTGAGAATCTTTTTTTTAAGTTTTGTGTGAATATATGGTCTACTTTTTTTCTGTAAACAAAGAGATTTAAAGCTTACTTCATGCAAACAAAAACTACATCGTTAATGTGGTTCATGTCAATGCTTTATCAGCTAGAAATTATACTTTCTACTCATATAGCAATTTGAGAATCTTTTTTTTTAAGTATTGTGTGAATATATGTTAAACTTTTTTTTCTGTAAACAAAGAGATTTAAAGCCTGCTTCATGCAAACAGAAACTACATGGTTAATGTGGAAGTTTCTGAGGAAATTTTTTTTATCTCGTTTTAAGTTACGGCTCTAGCCCAGTAGATATGTATATATTTCTTAGCGGTATATTTGTTCAACTTCCTTGTCAGTAAAGGATGGCCAACTCCCTGCCATTCAAACAATTATTTTGTACTTTCTCAAAAAATGTTGGCTTTATGTAACAACTAATTTTACTCACCCTTAGTAACGTATTGTTAATCAAAATTATGTTTCGCATATGACGACGCCCTTTAAATAAACGACAGTTCGAATGTTGTAAGTATAGGCGGAAACTTAGTAAAATAAAATGCCTCAACCTGTTTTTTTTTTTTTTTCTACAAGTACGTACTATTTCCGCTTGAAGTGGTTTAAAAATAAATTCCATTTATAATCTTTCATATGTAGTAAGCTTTTTAAATTTTTTTTTTAAAGAATCAGATGATTACAAGCACAAGTGTTGTAAATTGATAATAGTACAAGGGATAAAATTCATGAAAAAGAACCACCCAGCCTTTTGACAGTTTGTTATTCTTACAAAATCAACGGTAATGTTGCAAAACGTTATGATGTTCACTGGCAGATTGCCCAAAAGTTTATTAATGAAAATTAACTCAATAGTATACATTTAAACTACATTAAATAGAAAAAGAAGAATAGTTAACTGTAAATATTTATAGAAATAGACAGTGGAAAGCTGTTAATGGTATAATAAGCATAAATGGAAGTCTGATTTTGTAACTTAAAATATCGTCTGCGCTTTTTAATTTGCATATTTACGGCTTGCCCCTATAATCTTTTAGATTACATCTCAGTACATGAAACTCCAATCTTGATTAAAAATTATTCAAGTGTTCCACTTTTTGCTATGCACAGGGAAAATTTTCTTTGACGTTATGAATTCGCTGATTAATCAACTAAAATCAACAGATCTAAAAATATTTTCAATAAAATAAAATTGTGTAAAAAATGATTAATGCAGGTCCACTTTTTTAGTTTGTTAATATACCTCATTTTTTAAGGTATTCGTAACTCATGCCGAAAAGATTATGGTGGAAATAATAATTTAGTAAACTTATAATTAAAAAAAACAATTCTTAATAGTTTTCATTTATAATAAAAATATTTTTAATTTTTTTTTTTTACAATTTTATCCTAAATGATCTACAACATGTTGATGGAACAATAATTTTCTGCAATTCAATTAACAATTTATAGATTATATTATTTAAAGGGTAGAATGCTGATAATAAATGAAATTTTCTTAGCATTTCATTTTTAATTGTTTTTTCCCTTTATATGGCATTTCTCATTATTTTTTAAGTAATTTTTATTTCAAATATCTTCTAATAACAAGTGTTGTTATAGAGCAAAGTTTTTTAGAATATAAGAATTTCTTTTTGGACAAAAGATAATTTATCAATTCGAGGAATATTAAAAAGCATTTGATAAATCAATGCAATTCTGATGTTTTTGATGATAGTTACAAAAGATTAATAAATTCCTATTTATTTTTATTAGGTAAATTTAATTTTATTTACATAACGTATTTATTTTTTTCTTACTTTATTACTAAGTTGCGATTTATAATTTCTTTTTTAAGATTACTTTTAATATATATGCGCTCACAAAATTTTAAGGACATTATTTTTCTATTTAAGGTAATTTTCGATGTTTTTTTTTGAAAATTTTTTAATAATTTTCAGTCCTGATTATTATTACTATTATTCCTGACTATTATTCCGTACGTATAGTGACGGTTTACCCGAAATTCTGGTTTTTAAAGTTATAGTTCTTATTAAAACTTATTTAGTAAAAAAATATACAAGACTGAAAAATAAATTTAACCGTATGAATGGATTTTATGCCATTCTCTAAGGTATCGTGATTAAATTACCACATTTAGCAAATTTTATCCCATATTATTAAACCATATTTTATCGTTAACTTTATCAAAGTCAGTACTAAAAGAGCCTCGGTAAAAATTACCGAGATTTTTGGTGTTCCCGCAGAGACAGAAACACTGCAAATTTTACCATATTCTGGTAGTTTTGACCATACTTTTTTTCTCAATGGATTTATTTAAAAAAAATTTTATGGCATCTACATTTATCAATATATAAATACATATTATATTATTATGTCAAAGTATTAATCTCTGTTTGAAAAACATGTTATACCTTAATTATTTTTATAGCTTTAATTAAATTTAATTGCCAATCTAAATATAGATTTAATTATTTATACTGTTAGATTTTTTCTTCCAAAAACAGTGATATGCTTTTTTCGATTAACAGCTATTTGAGACAACGCATTATCAAATTCTGAACTGTTGTTCTTCTTTCTTTTGGCAATAACAATAATTTACCCCTGTTTACTTCATACAGTTGATATTTTCACCTACAATATTAGTTCACATAATATTTTTTGTTGTTATCAGTGACTGTGTTAAAGGTTTTGGACAGAGGCCAACGTTAAAGAGGTGTGTTTCATTTGGCGAAAACTCGTCATCGTAAATCAAGTCTACTGAAAGGTTCGAAAGCACTTGAAAGCAAGTGACGAAACCATAGCGTGATGGGTTATTTTTGGATGTTGTGTATAAATGACAAGAGAAAAGGTGTCCAGCTAACATTAACTTTTTGTAAGGAATTTGTTTCTGATGTAACTCTTTCCTTTCTTTCTAGTAATTTATTCTTTGATCGAGTTCATTTATAACTGGTTCAATGTTTGAATAAGACAATTTCTCAAATTTATTTATTACACGCACGTTTCTCAAAAAGGAAGTTCCTGATTACTGACTTCTAGAAAATTACACCCGCATTTTTTTTTCTGTACCTTAACTGTTATTTATTAGACTTTTTTGAAAACACATTTGATAACGCTATCAAAAATAATTTTTCAAAATCATTAAAGAACCGTTAAAATATCTCTAAATTTTAGATTTATGGATCTCTCTCTCTCTCTTAATTAATTTATTATCTCTTAATTATTGTATTAATTACTGGATTGAAATTAATAGATCTCTCTCTTAATTTATTATTTCTTAATTAATCCATTATCTCTTAATTAATTTCTGTCAACCATTCAATATTATACTCATTCACTGATGAGATGCAATTGTGTCCTCAAAAACGACATCCATTGGTTGAATTTGGAAAATTCATTATATAGAAAATTTCGTTTTACGGGTTTTAGAGATTTTTATTGTTATTTAAGCAAATATTACTACATTTTTGGTCGTTTTAATAAATTCGAAAGTATTTGTGTTTTAACTCTTTTTTAAAATTAAAAATGAACTTTTTTTAAACTTTTAATTACAACTGAAGTTAATAATTTGTATTAATTTATTGAAATCATTAATTTTTATTGTGTAAATAGGTGAAGACAATTCATCAATTTGGGAACAATGTTGATTACTTTGCATTTAAAAAAATATGTTTGCTTGAAAAACTAAACGATTTTGCTGTTTGCGATTATAAAATGGTCATAAAAATGTTCACATTTTAAAAGTGAGCTGAAAATAGAGTTGGACACTTTTTCATTTATTTAGAAACTTATTTTAATGTTTTGATTGTAAAATTTCAGTTTCATTTGGTTTTAGCTATATCACGTTTTAATTTTAGTTTCATATCACTTTAGTTTCATAGGAGTCACTGTCATATTTCTGGACTAGAAAGTTGTTCGTTACACTGTATAATCTCTTTATGCGTAATGTAGGTTATGAAATATAACAATCTTTCTCCCATTTCAAAAAAGTCAGATAGCGTACACTATACGCAAATCTTCAATTCCCTTCTGATGGTCCAACTAATTCCAACCTTAATTAAGAATTTTCTTCAAAAATAGAAAAGATGAAGGTCTGAAAATTTCTAAAACTGATGTAAATCGAAAAGATAAGCTTCTGAGAAATTTGTTACAATGAGACAACTGTTTTGTTATTCGTAGAATATTTTCCCTGGTTATTTACCTTTCCCACTAAACATTTCGTTATAGGGAGAAATTTGCTATTAAGAGACTTCGTTGAATGGAGATTTTTCTGTGTCGCTCAAAAAATTCTTTAGCTCAGACATATTCAATGCTCGATTTTTTCTTTTTAAAAAGAAAAAGAGAATATCCAATTGAACTAAGAATAGATAAAAAAAAAGCACGACTTATTTTTTATTTAGTTTGTATATATATATATATTTTCTTATAAAATATATAAAAATATTTTATTTTCATTTTTTAACTTTATTATTTGCTTTAATGACAAGGCAATGAACTTGCCGGAAATATACTGAAAGTTGATTAGATAAAAAACGTCTTGCATTTAAAATATTACTCATTGTTCATTAAATATATTATTCATTATACTCATTAGCATTTGAAAATAATAATCAGATTCGTTTTCATATTTGTATTAGGTGTTACTTTATCCGAAATTAGTTATTATGAATGTTAAAAAAATATATGCAAACGTAAATAACGTAATAATTTTTTTTCATATGAATTTACATTCTATGCCAGGACTCTATCAGGATCTTTATCATAGAATATCTAGGAGTTAACATGTTATGGAATGGTAAGTAAAAGACTTTTGCTCTCGTGAAATTACATAAAAATAATTATTTTCAGTTTTTTTATTATCCTAAAATAAATTAAGTTGTTGAAAGTATGCTTTGCAAATTTAATGCACGGTTAATGAACTGAAATTAAATTACATGCCCGAATTTTTACTTTAGTTATGAAAAGAAAACTCTTTTTTCGGAAATATTCAGATTTTTAGGGTTTTAAATCAAAGCTGGTTAAATTTTACTAAAAATAAAGGGGTTCCAGTTACGACTTTCTCAACCCTGGGGTGATAGATGGCTCGTGATTTGTAGATCCCTGCTTTATACTATAAAGGAACAGCAAAGAGCTTTGTAAAAGAAAAGCTGAGTTAGAACGATTAATATTTTACAATAAAAAAAAAAACTATAAGTTAACATTATAATATTTCAATCTTATAGCAATAAAATATTGTGCTAATTTAACCTACACTGTAAATACTGTGGTGTAATATGTCTCTCCGAATTTGATGCTGAACACCCCTAAAAAATATGTGAAGGAACACTTTTTTTCAAGTTAATACCAAATTGATCTTTTATATACATTTTATATGGTGTATGAAAGCTCTAAACACCTAATAAGCAAAACGTTCACACCGAGATCACGCGCTTTTACACGGTACGCTAAATAAGTTTGCTTCCAAAAACTCTAATGTTGGCTCGTTTTAGATATTATCTGTAATTGTTTACAATCGATTACAAGTTTGTGAGTGCTTGTGTTTCACCTCAGTGCTGCTTTTCATCTACAGAAACTGATGTTCGCCGTTAAAAAGATGTATATATGTTTTTAGAGGGTTAATTGCTTCTGTTGTTGTTGTTGTTGACGTATGCCTGTTTAGGCAGAGGGGGTGCCCTATGCCCAAGAATTCGACTTCTGCTACACCATACGTCGCACCCGTTTATAGGGCGGACCCATTCATACATGCATTTCATTCATCCACAGATTGTAATTTTGACCTGAATCAGAGAACGATCGATCTCCAATCCAGTACCCCCAGAGGTATTGATTTGTTATGGGAACATGGAGGACTTTTGCAACTCGACAGATTTAACGTGCATCAGTCACTTTACACGCGGAGTCTTCGGCGGGCGGGGTTTGAACCCACGAACTCTCGGACATGAGTCCAGCGCCCTACCGACCAGGCTATCCCGGCACAATTGTTTCTGTAAACTGAGCTAAATAACTTTGTATTGTATAATTTTTATCCGCTTCTGCTCTGTTAAGTCTAGTATGAATTTGTCTTAATATTCTCTCTGAGCTACGGGTATGTTTAATTTACAAACTAATTTTATTTTAAAAACTTCTGTGCGCATGCCACACCTGAATTATTGATTATTACTTTACATTGTCTCGTAAAAATAATTTTTCTGATTTTTATGTGTATCATATCTTACTATAATAATAAAGTTTGGTATTACTGACAAACAATATGGTGGCGGCCACATTACACCAAGTAGAATAAAAGAATATTTTAAGTGGTTCACTGCACCAGGAACTATATCCTAGGTTTTGGTGTGGTGAAAACTTAATGGAATACTATTTAGGTGTAAAGTAATGTTCCATTAAGAAATTTTGGTGTTCAGTTTCTAAACAATTTTACGATTTAAACTTAAAATACTGCGTGAGTTTAATCTAATATACAATTTAAACTGAAAATGCTATATTAATAAAACCAATTTAGAATTTGAACTGAACTATTAAGACGGTTATTATTGCTAAACATCATAAGACGGCTAAGAAACACAAAAAAAAAGAGGTTCTTTGAAATGTAATGCCTGAGAATAAGTGTTTTATGTCATATGATTTGTGACTCATTTTTCTAGAAAGGTATTCAATAATTTTTGCTTGTTTTTCTGACAGATGCAACACATTTTCTCGATTTGCCTGGCACAAATCCTATTTTTAATTTCCTTTCATAACATCCTTTTAGGTCGTCGACCAATAACAATTGCAATATTCATTATAAAACAATACTATTAGTAATAATTGTAATAAAAAATAACAAATGTTAAACAAAGTTAAATTAAGAATTTTCTATTTATTATAATTAAATTTTTTTTTGCTTTTGCACGCAGGAAAATAAAATTTTACCCTATTATTTTATTTTAGGAGTTAAGATTTTATTTTAAAAAAAAATTTATTACTCATTTTTTAAAAAAAAAATTATGTACTAAATACTTTATACTGTTCTTAGGACATTTTATAGGTTTTCTCAGCGTTTAAGTTTGAATGTAAATTTTCTGACTAATTGTAACATTAAATACATTTGTGACCTAAAGGAAATAAGGAAATATCATAGCTTAGTTTGGTTTCTTGTGTATGACACACCAACTTATGAAAATTTTTTATACCATATTACATATTTATACAAAATATTTTGGATGGAATCATTAATGGTCTTTAATAATTACGATTAAATTCTTATATGTCTATTATTTAGAAGCTGCGGGTTAGTTTCCAAGGAAGACGGGTAGATTTTTGGACAAGCCGTCCTCGGGGGCGGTTAAAATTTCTGAATCTTTTCGAGCCCTGGTACAGTTTAAACATTTTTTGCCTTAACGGTTTTGAAACCGTTTACAACTAGTATTTTTATAAAACCTTGAATCACAAAATCATACTGTTTTGCAACCATTTACGACTAGTATGGTTTCAAAACCGGAAAAATGAAATTTAACTGGGAATTAAAGCTACGCTTTTCTTTAAGTAATGGGCAATGGAATATTCAGGGAGCAATTGGGGTATTCAGGGAGCAATTTTCATGTGTTAAAGGGAATGGGGGAAATATCATGGAGTCAACGCTGGGACTGGAACCCAGTTCTGTCGGTCATGAGACGGACAGATTAGAAGTCTCGGCTATAAAATGAATGCTGTTATAAAAAACTAAGTGGCCTTATTAGGTGGGCTTAGTTGGCACGATAAAATTCTGGTTGTCTGGTTGTTTTAACTGTATTAAGTGAAAGTTAACCGTATCAAGTTAACCGTATCAATTGATAAGCGGGTTTTCTCACAGTTAACAGTTTGATTGCCATCTTATTTATGGCTATTTGGCTGTTTCGTTTGAATGTGGAAAAATAACAATAAAAAAATTCATTTAACGATTTTTTCTGAGAAATTTCTAACAGTGTAGTAAAACCACTGGGAAATGGTAATTCATCGAAATGAAACAAACTGAATACCCTTTTTTTTAATGCAGCATAAACATAGAGTACATTATGAGCCCGTGTAAAACTTATTCTTGCAATATAATATTTCTACTTTGATAAGGAATTGAAAAGTTGCAAAATTATCTAAAAGTACTTGATGTTAAAACCACGGCATACAACAAAACTGGATTGAACGTAAATGAAGGCAAGATAGACAGCGGAAATGAGTGAAGTCATAATGCATTTCTTAGAAGTGAAGAAAAAAATTAACAAGTAGCAATTATAAGAAAGCTTTTGGCAATTATACTCAGTCCGAAACAAACATATTCTCTTACAGACGTAAGCGAATTAATTGTGTACATAAATTATAGTAAATTATTCAAATCCATCAGAGATAATGAATATGTACACTGTATTAAAAAAAAGATAGAATTAATTTACTTTTGAGGGTCCAACTTGTATTTGGCATGTCTACAGAGTACTTTTCAACTCCATGTAATTAACAGAATTTTTAATACAGCACATGATTTTTTTCCTTGTATATAAAGGCTTCATATGTTTGTTTCTGATATTTTAGATAAAAAAAAGTGTAATTTAAGTTTGTAATAAAAAATTAGTATATAATTTTTTTAAGAAAACATATGTTTTTTTTGTTTGGTGCACAACACTGTATCAACACATTCGGTATAAGAAATATTTAAATCTCAACTGATATAAAAATATAGATTCCAAGATTTAAACATGAATTTGACTACAATTTTAAATTTTAGTGGTTTGTTTTAAATAATAATTGTATTTTTTTAAAAATTAATTTCTTCTGAAAAAAATTAATTTTATTTTAGATAAAACTTTGAGTTTAATTCCTAGAATGAATATTTTCATATTAGTAAGATGTTGAATTTTGATTATGATACCAAATAAATTGAAATAATACTAAGCACAACCACGATTGTTTATAAATTAGTTTTAATTATTACATTTTATAAACAGTCTATTTCAATCATAAAATCAAACTTCACTTGATACAATGACATGAAGAAAATAAATGTCTACAAGTGCGCTTATTGCTTCATAAATTACTTTGCTTTCTTAATTGTAATGCCCCTTACGCGCGTGTTGCAATAATTTTTTAGATAAATATAAATAGGTTTATTTATTTTTGTAAAAGACATTTACACCGGCGCTATTGGATTTCATTGCCTTTAAAACATGTTTTAAATTCTCAAATGTTATAGTTAATCCACTTTTAACTGATCACCACCGCTGTTATTTGGCAAAATTTTACTGTAATTTTAGTTTTTTGAGAAAATATTTAATGTAATAATTTAGCTTTTATCTCCGTATACCCCCCTGGGGTGGGTCGGAGTTCAACCTATCTTATTTTTGTAAAAACAAAATTAATAAACACGTTTACAGGATTAGTTTGAGAGAAAGGACAAACATGTAATTAATATTAATTATAAAATTCATTTTATATGAGATTTGAAAGTAAAGACTTTCTTTTTTACGAGACTGCTGTAATTAGGTTTTAGATTTAATTTGAAATAAAAACAGAAAATTTGAAAGGAATGATGAAATTGTATGAGATGAAAACTGTATAAGAAGAGCTTTTAAAGTGTGGTTTGAATTATTTTTTGGTTCAGTTTAAATTATTTTTCTAAATAGAAAAAAGAGACATTTAATGAGTTTCTAAAAATTTTTTCATTAACTGATCACGCACTTTGTTATGAAAAGTTGTTCGTACGCTCTTTAACGTAATTATAAACTTCTCACTGATTACAGAGGTTCTGTTGCCCTTTACTTTAATGAACAAAATATATGAACTGAACTG